TCTCTCTCTCTCTCTCTCTCTCTCTCTCTCTCTCTCTCTCTCTCTCTCTCTCTCTCTCTCTGTGTGTGTGTGTGTGTGTGTGTGTGTGTGTGTAGGGGGGTGGGTCAATACGCAGAATCGCTCTTAGCAAGCTAGCTTCGAAAAGCAACACTTTCAAACGTGGACGTCGCGTGATCAAATCCCAATCATCAAAGCATCTATTACATCGTCGGAAAAATCTTGTTCTCCATGGCTTCGTGCATGTATGATAACGTTTGGAAATTGGCGGGAACATTAACGTCGTTGCCGACGTGGCGATCAGCAAGACCGTCACAGCTGGGCAGCAGCACCATGATGATGGCCTCTTCCCACGTCTTCGTCGCCCTCCTCCCTCGTTGTCATCATCCTCGTCCATCATATTCTTCCCCCTCTTACCTGCTGTCCGCTAATTAGCCACTTTTCCCCCCGTCTCTCCCTCCCCCTCTACTCTACTACCCTCTTCCCCCCGAATAGAGCGCACGGTCATTATCGCTGTACCTATCAGACTAGAAATCATCCCCCCCAGTAGCGCCATAACGACCATGCGTTGTATTCGGCGGAAGACTGTAGCTCGTTATCTCCTTCCTCTCCTCCACTTCCTCTCCAGACCATCGAATAGAACGCATGGCCGTGATCCCGGTGCCTATCAGACTCGAAGTGGCCCCAAATACAGCTATAATGACAGTGCGTTCTATTCGGGATAAGAGGGGACCTCGTCCTCCTCGCTCTCCTCCACCGTCGATTGGACAGGGTACATGCTATGGTAATCTCTTTTTCTTTTTTATTTTCGTATCGTTCCAATTCTGTGATGTCCCAAAGAACCTTCCCCTTGTCTTCTTGCTCTCGCTCCCATTCTCCGTCGTCCGCTTTGTACCGCTGCATCTGGCGGAGGCTCACGCTGTCGGACTTCTGGAATCTGACGGACGCTCGAGCTCTCAGACTGCTGGAAATGTAAGCCAGGAAACCTCGGGTTAACTACGGGTGGCATTGAGGCCATCACTGCTGGTGAAAGGAGGACCGAACAGGATCAATCAATGGCTGAACCGATCAGCCATGGCGCACTGACCCCTTTGCTTCCACCCATAAATAATGGTCTAATGGGGTCGTGGCCACCCCTCCCATCATCATAGCTTGGGCCAAAGTGCCAGGTCAGCACGAACCCAGTCAGCTTTCGCGACCGGATTCATGCTTGCTGACCACAGACACAACAGCCATGCCCGACAAGAGGACGTGGCGTTGATGTTACCCAGGGATTTGCGCTACCCTTTACCCTATTTGTTTTTTCTCATCGAGTTCCATCTGGATTCGAACTCAGGTCTGAGTTCCTTTTTTCTTTTTTCCTTTTTTTTTTGGGGCCGCCGTCCGGGGGACACGATCTGCTCGGGGCAAGATGCCTAACTTTGAGCTCTCCCCACGCGTCTCCGCTAACGCCGCAGGCACACTCGCACAGGATGAAAATGGAAACCTTGGCATCAGGAAGCCTGGAACCAGGTTGGGACCAGGATGGAACCAGGTTGGAACCAGGCTGGAACCAGGTTGGGACCAAGTTGAACCAAGTTGTACCGGGTCATAGGACCAGGTTGGGACCAGGTTGGGACCAGGTTGGGACCAGGTTGGGACCAGGTCGCAACTAGGTCGGCAGCAGGTTGGGACCAGGTTGCAACTAGGTTGGCAGCAGGTTGGGACCAGGTTGGGGACAGGTTGCACCTAGGTCGGTACCTGGTTGGGACCAGGTTGGGACCAGGTTCAATCCAACCAAGATGGGACCAGGTTCCAATGGGACCTAGATGGGACCATGTTGGGAGCATATTGGGAGCAAGTTGGGACCGTGTTGGGACCGTGTTGGGACCATGTTGGGACCAGGTTCAATGGGACGAGGCTAAGTGGGACGAGGCTAAGTGGGACTAGGTTGGGACCAGGTTTGGAGACCAGGTTGAGAGCAGGTTCAACCTACGCTAGGCCGATTATAGCACCAGCCTGCCCCCAGCCATAACCAGGTCCATAACTAAGGGCTGCCTGGATGTTACTGGGGGGCTCCTCCCCTCACCCTACTGGCTAATGCTTTGTGCAAGCATGAAGGTAATGAGCCTGCAATCCTGTGGGATCAGTGTGACCTATGCTCCGCCTATTACACAACTAGGTCCATCCCAGATGAACCTAGATCCTGTGGTATCAGGTGCAAACCTATGCGCGGCTAATTGCGCCAGCACGGCCCAGCAGGTCCATCATAGTCAAACCAGGTCCGCAGAGGCGGCAAGTGTGCAGGATTGAGCCTAAATGACTCATTTTTCAACCCAGGTTCAGTCTACGCCGGCTAATTATTGCACCAGTCCATCCAAGGTGCACCCAATGGTACCAGTCCTCCGTCCGCTAGCCCTGCTCCTGCTTCTGCTCTCCCTGCTGATATAAACGAATGGATGACCCTAGATCACTTTTGCACTAGGTTTACCATCCTAGGTCAGTCCGCCTACAGCGCCATGTCGACCCTCTGTTGTGACGCCCAACCTCACGCCCAGCGCGACTTCCTGATCGGAGTATGATGTGGGCCTGGAAGTGCAAAAAGGGGTGGGCCAAGGATTTTTGGGAAAGTGGGGGTGGAGTCCCCGTTCAGAACTGAGATCTCCTGTGGCAGGGTTTTTCGGGGGCACGAGTGCAATTTGACTGAGAGGGCGGACCGCTTCCGGTCGTAAGGCAGATGGCATGCGCGGATCGTTCAAGGCCGCTCGATCCACCCGTTTTGATGACGGCGGTTCGTCGAAAGGTCCATTCGGGGTGGGCGCGATCCTGATGAGTCAGGTCGTCGGCTGTCGCCACGTGGCGCCGGTCGTCGCGCGTTCGGGTTGGGACCTCGGGTTCCCGAGGCTCTCTGGTCGCCGCATCGTCAGCAGTTTCCGCAGGGCGTGCGAGGCCAGTATGGTGCTATGGCTTTCCACGGGATGACCCTGAGTTGATGGTACGGGAGAAGAAGACGGAAGGGAGGGAAGTTAGTGGAGATAACGACAAAACCGGGGGAAATAAAGTAGTGGGTGTGGTCTGAAGTGGGGAAATCAGAGCACCGGGGGTCGCTGGTTGTGGCGCAGTGAAACTCCCTAGGACACAGTCGATTCTCTGTTAGGCAAGGGAATCTCTGTCGGAAGCTCTCCTCTATCCAAGGGGTGAAGTATTCCGGGTCGTACAACGACCTTGAGCTCCCGGAGCGTGTCATCATGTCATCGTAGAGCCACGAAATTCCTAAGGGCGTGTCTTTGTCGATTGCGATCACCGCATGTGAGTACGTGCAGGCCACGCGAATCGAGTCGCGCTTACACGTGTTCACACGGGATGATTGCTTCGTTGCCGACACAGGATTGGCCACATCTAGTCAGACAATATCCCCTCAATCGTTGCCTTTTTTTTTATGTGTGGTTGGTTGTGAATCGACACGCGGGGGCGCGTGGAGGTGCGCAGATCAGATCGCACTTACGCGCGTCCCTGCGTGGCGTTCGTTGGTTTTTGGGCAAACAGCTACCCGATCATCTAATCACTCCGTAATTTCTAAGCATGCAAGATGCAACAATCGCAATAGCTCAATCAAGGGATAAGCGAAAATGAAAACAGTATTGATGACTATGCAAAATTCCTACCTTACTCATGAGTGCATCAAGATGGTAAACAAAAGGCAAAGGTCGGGCATAAGGACAAGCAAACAGACATAACATCCATTCATTCAGCATACACAACATCAGAGATTGAAATCACAAAAATGAGTGTGGGAGAGAGAAAACCAAGCCAAGATTCCGAAAACAAAAACGGGCAAATCGCCCTGATCCGATACCAAAATTTATATACACAAGCAGGGAGGGAGAACAGATGAAAGAAACAGCAAATCTGTGTCCATCAACCTCAGCTCCCTCTTCCTCTCTCTCTCTCTCCGATGCGGACAGCCCGTCGTCGTGCACCAACCCACGAAGTTGTCACCCCGCTTAGTCCTCCCGCATCCGTCAGGTTCGCCCGCGTCCACAGTCCGTCGTGGCCCGCGTCAACCCCGCACGTTTGGCACCAGCTCGTCGGGTGGCCCGACTCCCACTTCAACTCACCTCTTACTTCGCTCGTGAGCGGACCCTCACTGATCGCGCTACCTTGAGCTTCCACTTAGCTGGTTAAGAGAGCTAACTAATCGCGCAGCCGGAATTTATAGCGTGCATGCATGCGCAAAGAACACGGAATTACAAGGACCTGGAAAGGAAGATCAGGAGAGGGAACGCCTACGTTCTGCATGGCCAGATCGCGGCGTGGGGGACGTAGCCGCTCTCCACACATTGATCCGATCATGCAGACCGCGGCTACCAAAACGCAACAAAAAGAAAGAGAAGAAGGTCGGGAAAGGCGAAGCACAAGAAGAAAGATACAGTTACAATGGCGCCCTCCCAAAATTACAGTTACACACACGATTAAAGGCGCCGACTAATCAGAGTTCCGTTGCAGCCGTACGAAGAAGCGCGTAAGCAAAAAGCGTCGCGCGATCCAAAAAAATCCTATTTACAAAATTCCTAAATTCCTATCTAATACAGAAAAGGCGGAAAGCGCAAGTTCCGAAAGGGAAGTCTGAAATTCCGAGAGCCATCGGGGCTCGACAAGATTCGAAAAAGAATTCAAAAAGAAAGTTCAAAAAGAACGAAGCAAAATTCTCGCGTGATGTCCGCGCCTAAATTCCAAAATCGAAACAAAAGAAGTGATGTCAACAGTTATTAATCACGTGCACGGCGGCCCACCGCAGACACAACCAATCAATCAATCGATCGTCCCGGGACTCACCCGGCCCTGAACCCAACCATTCGAAAAGAGACGACGAAAAAGACGAAGAGGCAGGGATACTAATTCAATTTTCTTTCAATCTCGATCTCCCGTAATTGGCCCATCCTTCCCAGCTTAGGACCCCTCATTGCTATCGCGCAGAAAATCGCGCGGTGCAGAAATCGGTTCGTCACACTGTTACACCACATCTTCACGACACTAAGGGAGCTAGTAATAATGGGTGAGTAATGGCCTCGGTAATTTTCCGGGTAGATATGTGAAGTCCCTGGCCTCAACCTTTATGTGTTGAAAATGAACTACTAAAAGAAAAGGGTGAGATCCCACTTGCTTGGATTCTTTGTTCTGGACAATAAATTGCACAGATTGAGGAGCAAGAATGCAAAATTAGGGTAATTGCAACTTTTGCCAATGATGACCGATTGGTCAACTGCATGGGAGTAGGGAACGCAACCTTGAGAGCCTCTTTTTTTTCTCGTTTTGTATTTGTATCTTTTTTTTTTTTGTTCAACGGAAAAATTTCCCTCAATTAAATAATCATTCTATAGTGAAATTTCATTCTAAATTTTAAATTTGCATTCTATCTGAAAAAAATGTCATTCCAATTTTAAAATTTCCCGTCTTACTTGAAAACTTTCCTTCTAAGAATGAGGTATCCCTTTTTATTTGAACTGCATGCTAGAGATGGAATGAAAGTGTGGACGAGTTCATGAAATATTTTAATTGGACTGTTATTCTAAGTAAGGATTTTCAGTCATAAATAGGTTAATCCAATCTAAATTAGAAGATATTTATTGTAGAATGAAAATTTAATTAAAATATTTCATAAACTCGTCCAGACTTTCATTCCATCTTGAACAAATAGATGTAGTTGGAAGGGAAAACACATATTTCGACGGGAACTTATCAAATAAAACTGAAAATTTTACAATTGGACGAACATTGGAATGATAATTTATAAATATGAAGGATTTTTTATCATTTTGTTTTTATGGAAGATTTTTTCAACTTTCATTTCTCGTGGGAATTTTTCTGTTGTTTAAAAAAGGCTAAAAATCTGGAAAGGACGGCCTTTCAGGCCTTTTTTATTGTCATTATAGTATTACGGGGAACCCCGTAGCAGCCACATCCGTGCTCAAG